AATTACACTAGGCTCCAGGGCCTAACTGACCTTTAAATACAAAGGCCTTCCAGGAGGTGGTGGTGTCTCTAAACTAGAGGCTTACATAAAAAACAAAACAAAACAAAACAAAACAAAAAAACCACAAACAAACAAACATTCCATAGACAAAGATTAGAACAGAAATAAATAAAACAGAAAAAAACAATTAAAAAGAATGAAATAAGTCAAAGGATTAATAAAATAGATGAGCCACCTGTGAATATAACAAAGGAAAAGATGATACAAATGACAGAAATGTTAAAAAAAAAACCAAAACCAATTAAATTAATGATATCACATCAGAACAAACAAAAATAAAAATGATGTACTGTCAACAAAAAGGCCTGCATACAGTGCAAAGCCATCAACAACTCTGTGGGAGAAAGATGGGCAACTTACTGCCTTCTGGAGGGTAAACTAAGGGTCAATTCCAACTTGATGGTATCTAACAACAACACTAGAATCTATATTCTGACAAATTTAAAAAGCTAGAAAACATGGGGCAACTTTTAGAAACATACTGACTACACAGGATAACAAACTCATGAAGAAATATTCAAAATCAATAGCTATCAAAGATACGCAAATCAAAACAATATTGGCATATCATCTCACCTGAGCAACAACAGCAAAATTCAATAAAATAGTAAAGAAGAGATTTGAACTCAAACACCTGGAGACTGTAAAATGGTGCAGCCACTATAGAAAGCAGGTTAGAGTGTCCATAAAAAGTGGAGAATAGAAAAAACCATTTGGCGATCCTAGTAATAAGTATAATTCTAAGGAAACAAGAGCTCTATTATTCATAATATCTAAAAGATAGAAGTCACTCAAATATTCATCAGTGGATGCGTGCATAAATAACTGAGGTGAACACATCTGGTGGGAAACTATGTAATTATAAGGAACAATGAAAAATTCTGGAATACTACATAACTTTAAAAGATATAATGCTGTGTAAAAATAATGACAAAGAATAAATATTATATTAGTCTATTATCATGAAAAAACTATCTATGGTCCTCTCTTGCTATTTTCATGGTTGTATCCTTTCACCATATCTATCCAATCTGTATGTTGAGAAAATTATTCCAGCAGCTGGACTCTATAATGAATGTGGTGCCAGAATTTCAGGAAGACTCATCAATAACCTTCTTTATACAGATGACACAACCTTGCTTGCTGAAAGTGAGAAGGACTTGAAACACTTGCTGCAGAAGATTAAGCATTGCAGCTTTCAATATGGATTGCATCTCAGTGTCAAAAAAACCAAAAATTTTTACCACTGGACTGATAGATGACAATATAATAGATTGAGAAAAGACTAAAACTGTCAATAATTCCATATTACATTTTTCCACAATCAATACAACTGGTATTAGCAGTCAGGAGATCAGGAGACATATTGTACTAGGAAAGTCTGTAGTCAAGGACCTCTCGAAATTACTTATGTTAGTTTGAGGACTCTTTTGATCACTTGCTATGGTGCTAAGAGCTAGACAATGAGTAAGGATAGCAGAAGACAAATTTGTGCCTTTGAACTGTGGTAATGGAGAAGAGTACTGAACATTCTAAGGACTGTCAAAAGAACCAACAGATATTATCTTGGAGAAGGTGAAGGCAGAGTGTTCTCTGAAGGCACAGACATTGATGCTTTTTCTCACATACTTTGGGCCTGTTGCTAAGAAAGGCTGTCCCTTGGAAAAGGACACCATGCTTGGAAAGGTGGGGGACAGTGAAAGAGAGGAAGACCCTCGGACAGGTTGAGTGATACCGTGACTTGTGCTTGGGTATGTCAAAGATTGTGAGATTGGTACAAAATAAGACAAGTTTCAGATCTGTCTTCATAAGGTCACTACGAGTCATACTCTACTCAACAGCACCTAAAAAGAGCATCATGATAAAGCTAAAAGTTTTAGAAAGAAATGTGCTAGGATAGAAACCAAGGATGAAAGAAGAGTGAGAGAGGAGTGAAAATAAATTAGTCAGAAGTGTATTAAGATGAATAAATAGGAAGGTAATGTGTAGGAAGATTATGATGGTCAGGACAATATTACTAAAGAAAAGGAAAAACACTGATAGATATACAAGAAATGCAATAAACAAAAGTAAGGCCTTTAAATACACAATGCTGCGACACTAAAAATTAATCTATGAGCAGATGGATAAGCAGACAAGATGAAAAGATATGGTGAAGAGAAGGCACTACACTCATGACCATGTGTAGGTTTGGCAGATGATATTTCTATAATCATTTTATTATATGGTGTAAATATTTCCATGAATATGGCCGAGTAAACTTTGAGTAAAATTATGTAATCTTCTTAATAATAATTCATTACCCTAAGGAATGAGTTTTGGTTCAAACACCTTAGGACCACTGCCGTAGGAGACATCAAGGTCAGCTGGCATAATCCAGTCTGCAAAGAAAATGTTCTACATTCTGCTTCGGTCAGTAGAGACTAGGGTCTTAAAAGCTTATGAACAGCCCTCTAAGATGCAATTATCTTTCTCTCCTGGTCCTGATCAAAGAAGAGACAAGCAAAGCAAAGATGCAATAAAATGATTAACGCAAAAGGCTAATAGATCACATCTATTTCTATGACCCTAAGACCAGGAAAAGGTCTTCTTTTTATCTATCAATTCTGATTCCAGCACATAAGCACATATATCATTTTAGTTAGCTGCTTTGAATCAGTCAAATTCTCAATTTAAAATATCACCTAGTTTCTAACCTTATATATTCAGTATCTTTTACTTAATAACTAAAGAAAATATGCTAAATATTGTTAATCATCTTTTACCTAAATACTAGAAAGTATTTGAAAATGAATTATCTTTACTAAAAATTTAAAAATGAGATTTATCAATTGACCTAGCTTCTCAGTTAAAGTTTCTAAGATTTTAGTAATATTAAATTAAATATTACTCTAGAGAGTAAAATGAAAACTTCAAATGGAAAATAATGTCTTTCTGGCATGGTAGAGAACCTATATCATGATGTTTTGACATCTACTTTTATGTGAAATCCTCTATCATTCCATATAATTAGCACATATAAAGTGTACACATAAACCATAACACAAAAATAATGAAACTGAATTAGAGGAAAAAAAGAAGTTCTGCAAATGCAGAGATGTATCTACAATGTTTCATTATGTATAATCAGAGAACTGGAAGATAACTTATTTCAGATAATTCATCAGAAAATAAACAAATCCAGGAGTGGCATCCACTTCCATAATAGCTTGCCTCCGGAAAACCTATGAACCTGTAGAGAGGATGAAAGTCACACAAGTGTTAAGGACTTTTGATCATAGGGTCGCTCTGAGTCGTCTACGGCACTCAACAACAATAACATCAATATAGAGAGTGATCAGTTGGACTAGTGGACCAAAAGCGATGTTACCAAGCCAAAGGTGGGTGACTTTAATCTGCAGGCCTCAGGCATGTTTTTCATTGGTTTTGCTCAAACATTCTTCTAGGTCATATAGCTCTCGTTACCCAGTGGTAACTTATGGTTGCTGTGAAGCTGAACACTGTGACAAATGTGTTAATGGTTACCCATAGCGGACAGTGTTCGGTGGCGCTCCCTCGTTGAAACAAGCTTGGAAGTAGGAGTAGCATCCACTTCCAAAAATAGTCTGCCTCGGGAAACCCTATGAACTTGGAGAAAGGACAAAAGTCACACAAGTGTTGAGGACTTTCGTCCGTAGGGTCACTACGAGTAGCCTATGAGTAGATGGCACTTAACAATCTTCACTAAGAAATATATGTATACATACCTGATCAAAAAATAATAAAATACAAACGTTTTTTTCTTCCTTAAATGTGTACAAAACACAACAGAACCATTGAGAAAAATACTGTCATACATGGTCAGTACTATTATACGTGGAGAAAAAAACATAGTTTAAATGCTTAATGTGGGAAACAAATGAAATCTTAAAACACAAGTAAGAATGTATAGCTATTGGTTGATTTATATCTTTATGTTATTAGGATAAATTTCCTCTAAATGTTAATCATTTAGAACTTGTATTTTTAATCTATTTCTTTGTGTTTTGGATGCCAAGAATTTTTAGAAACTTAACCTTATAAAATCATATTAATTAAGTCATGTGGAAGTTTAATTTAGTATTTTATATGGTTATAATGACAATGTATGAGTTATGTGGGATATACCTCAATCAAGTTGTTCACTTATTAGGAAAAGTTTACTCTTGGGAATATGATTTTTATCTGTTTATAAGCATTTAAATGATTGTGTTGGTTGCTTACCGCTTTATTCATCTTTGAATCCACAGTGCTTAAGATAACACCTCAAATATATGTACAAAATGAATCAATGGATGTATTGGAGAAAGAAAGGAGAATGAGAGGGCACAGATAAAGTGAAAGAAAGAGATAAGAAAATAGAAAATACGAGTGCTTTCATCATGAAAGCTAAGAAGTGGAACCCTTTCCTATTATTCAAGGTACATTATTGTCAGAAAATCAACCTTTGCAAAAGTGCACTTACAGAATATAAGTATACATGCTACAAGACTTTGTTTTAATTAATTCTCTACATCTAAATTATTAAAAACTGAGCATACCTTTGTTTTACTTGGAATTATTACCATTACATGTTCTTCACATAAAACAGGCAAAGTTTCTCAAATGAAAACTTATTCTGTTACTCAAGGATGTTCAGGTTTATAAATAAAACACAGCACTTAGCAGAACCCAAACACCCACTGACATAGGACTTACTCAAGCTCGTAAGGACCCTATGTACCAAACGGCAACACCTTGCCCAATCAAGTGCTGTCTTCACAATCTCTAGCATGCTGAAGTGCACTGTTGCAGCCACTGGGCCAATCCATTTCATTGAAGGTCTTCCTCTCCTTTGCTGATCCTCTTTTTCCTTGCTTATTAGGATAATGAAAAATAATGGACCACAAAACAATAATTTATTTATTATTGAAACTACTTACCAGAATATCTTTTCCAGCCCACATACATTCATTTCTTCTCATGTAAGAAACCGGCCAAACAATCTAAGGGTAGAGAAGAAATAATATTTTAAATCCATTTTCTAACCAATACAACATCATATAGTTGTTGTTGTTTTATAAGAAGTAATAGTGTCTAAGTTTAAAAAAAGCAAGGAGTTTAAAAGGTAAGCAGGGACCTTGGAATTTAGGTTTTACAGTGGCGTTAGCTAATTGTTATGGACTTCAGTTATTTACTCTCTTCTACTCATTCTGGTTTTAGGGACAGTTGAGTCAACTCCAAATCATAGTGGCCACATGTACAAAATTATACTGTTCTAATCTTGGGCCAATATCACAATATCTGTTCTCATTAAGCCCACTGCTTTAGACACCACGTCAGTCCATCTCATTTGGGCTCTCTCTCTTTTTCGGTGATTCTCTACTTTTCCAAACATGAAATACTTCTTCCAAGGATTGGCTCCTGATAACATGCCCAAAACACACCATCCTTGCGTCTATAAAGCACTGCTACCAATGAGTCTTCTTAATACAAAAAAAGATTAGAAGACAAAAATCGATCAGGGAAATAGAGCTAAGTAGGTTAGGGGGTAAGAACTGTGACCTAGTTTGAAATGAGGTCATTTGGAGGAGCAAAATCAGTTCATATTCTTCTAAACAAGCTCATTTTAATCTTTCATAAATGACTATTAAATTCCCAGGTTTGGGATATCCGGAGCCCAAAGTAGACGGCTAGGCATATCATTGTCTCTAAGGAGCTTATTTTTGTGTGAATAGAGTAAGGAACTAATAAGTGGCAGATGAAGAAAGACATTACTGTTGGCTCAGCTCCTTAAGAACACAAATAATCTATCTAAATTTTGATATAAAATATCCCACCCTCTCTGAAACTCCAGTAACAATTGTATGAAAATTGATTATTTATTTACTTAATCTCTCTTAGTAAAATCAGTTCATCTTTTTCAAAAAATGTTATATGCAAATAAAACCTCATAGACATTAGCTGTTCATCTCTATGCTGAAAATTTCACCTCAAAATAACAAATAATTGTTCACTTGTTAATCATTAGATAATTCAAGACATATTGCTATAAACATAGGGAAAGGCTATGATATTAAATTTAGAGAATTAAAAGGTAAAACACAACATATGTCTAAAAAATAATTTGGATGACATTGAAATAACCTTTAATTAGCATGATAAATGCATTTCAAGCTCATGTCACTACTACAAAAACTCTAAAAATTCTTGGAAATGTATCCATTTTCATCATTAAGCTTTCCAACTGTGGTTGTGTGTTTAAATTTAAATTATCATTTGACTTATTCCAAACTGCACTGTTTATTAATGAAATAAACCAGAAACACTAAAAAGAATAAGGATAAAAAATGACAGACTTTTCATGATTAAATAACTTTATTTGCAAAATGCTTTATAATGAAAACTGATCTTCAGTAAACTTTTTATACAAAGAGTTGATACCCTAGGCATTGTGAATCAGAGGACCTCTGTCACAACTACTTAACTTTGCCATTGCAGCATGAAAGCAGATATACACACTATGTAAATAAACGAGCACAAATGTGTTCCAGTATACCTTTTTTACAAACACAGGTGGCAGGCAAGTTTTGCCTATAGGTCACTGCCTGACACCCTTTCCATTTGCTGGAAAAATCACTAAAAGTATATAGTGATATATACATATAAAATAAATTGTTACGCATTTCTATAAACATGCAGATATGTATTCGTATACAGAAAAAGTGATATAACCAAGAAAAGCTGAAGTTAGAGGGTGGTAAATTTTGTTTGTGAGGGAGGAATAACTTGGAGATTGAGGGTAAAATGCTTACACAATTTGAGAAATATATTCAGTGTGACTGTGTATGTAGAGACTGTTGAATTGGTGTTTAGTCTGCTATGTATATCCTCGACAACACAAATACAAAAAAATTCTTTTAAAAATACTATCATCCTTTCCTTGTCAATCTGCTGCCCACGACTTGATGAAAGTGCTAAATATCAAGAATGTCACTTTGAAGACTAAGGTAAACCATGATTTTCCATCACCTTATATTCATTTCGGTGATTTTCAGTTACTTATATTCATGTGCTAGATGGGTAAAAGTAATGAAGACTGAAGATAAATTGATGCCCTGGATTGTTATGTTGCTAAAGAGTAGTGAACACAACATAAACTGTCAAAAGAACAACAAATATGGGAGAGTTGCAGTAAGAATGCTCCTTAGAAGAAAGGATAGCCAGATTTTTTTTTTCCACATGCATGGGCACATTGCCAAGAGCAACTTATGCCTGGAGAAGGATATTACTCTTGGGACAGAAGGTTAAACAATATAGAGGATGATCCTCAATAAAATTGGCAAAGTGGCTCCAGCCACAGACTTAAGTACAGCAAAGTTTGTGAGCATTGCCCAGGATTGAGCAGGGTTTCATTCTGCTCTTCATAAAAAAATGCCGCTATGATTTGGAGCCACATGGTTGCAACCAAGGAACAGCAGCATTATTTCTTGGCAATAATTATTTTAAGATTCTGTATATCACATATTACTATAGCCATAATTTTAATTTATATTTCAAAAGATAAAATGTCGAAACCATTCTCTATGAATTCTTTATAATTTTATGTTCCCAAAAACCTACTGTTCAAATATTAGAATAAAAATACCTTTTCAAAGTCCTTGATATTAATCAGGTTGAAGGAAAATATGTGATCCTTTGCTCCAACATACAGTCTACTCCGTTCCTCATCCAAAAGGAAGGTATTATAACTGGAGCTATTAGACAAGCCATTGAAATTGACCAGATTGTTGGATTCCACCATTTCTGTAAGGTAATAAAGAAAGACATTGAGTGTTAATTTGAGATCCTCCCTGAGAATAGTCAAGTGGTACACTGTCATTTGAAGTACTGAAGCTTTCAGTTAGTGCTTAAATTGTGTGATACTATACAAGAACTATAAACTGGACATTTAATTGAAATGGGTTAGACTTACCACCTTGATTATTTCAACATACTCAAAATCATAAAATCCTAAAGTGGAAAGGAGTGAATTATCCATTATGTCCATACAAATTAATCTGGTGGAATCTACTTACAAATGTAGTTGTTGTGTACTATTGATTCGGAAGGTTTTCACACTTGCAAAGGCAGTTGATTGCATGGGAAGAGATTGACCATGTATTGTCATAATCAATAAAGTCAATATTTTTAATTTTACAAAGTTTTTTAAAATTATCTCTTTCATTCAGTGCAAATAATTACTTGAAAGGTTAAGCACTGGACATTCTGAGCAGAGAGTGTGCTCTTGTGTTAAAACAATGCAGTCCTCTGGGCTGTTTGAGAACTCAATGTATTGAGGAATGTAAATATGTCCTTGGTACCATGGTATCATTCATTCCATCATTTAATGCATTTTACAGTCTTTTGGAATCCACATATACCCAGAAGTTGTGACTTTTATTTAAAGAATGAAATTAATTTTATCATCTTATTCCAAATATTTTGTTTTCATTCTCTTATTTGTTTGGGTTAGTTTTTGGGTTGGGGTTGTGTGTTTTGTGTGTGTTTTTTTTTTTTCTCAATTAATAAATTGGCAACTACTTAACTTTAAGTTAACATTTTAAGACAGAGAAATATTTTCTACTTCAAAGAGGAACATTTCATATAATAAGACATCAGTAATTCAAGGTAATTTTTGATATCAAAGGCAAAAATTAATGTATCAAGTGTATTACAACTCCTAGGAGCCCTGCAGAATTGGATAGAAACTCTCTACATGGTTTCTGGCACTATACATCATTCCAGTAAGAGAATAACTCATTAATCCTGAAAAGCTTCTGGTGGTTTCCTACTTTAGAATTTCATGTTTGTAATTCTAGTTTTTCATTTTCTTTATTTTTTTTATTAATTTTAATGAAAGCTTACAGAGACTTAGGGTTTCCATTCATCATTGTTGCACTTTTTTCCCTGCCCACCCACTCCCCCCAATTCACTCTTCTCCTTGAAAAGTAAAATAAAAATTCTTTACTTGTTATGCAATCCCTCTTCCTATGTCCACTCCACTGTGCAGTCTTCATTCTGGACTCCTTTAATGACAATGATACCCAATCATATATCCCTTTTATACCTTTCTCTCCCTCATCTTCTTAATCTACATCATCAGGGCTCTCCTATCAACAAATTAGTGTTATTTAAATATCTATTGTTGTGCACCACACCTTCAAGTCAGAACAGAGTCATACTTGATCAGTCAGGTTTTCAGAGGCAATGAATTTCCTGGGAGGAGACTGTCTACCTTACTCCCATGGAGCAACTGGTGGACTCGAACTCTGTATCTTTGAGTTGGCAGCACAAATCCTTACTACTAAGCCAGTAGATCTTCCATATCTACTATTATTATATTATGTACACACACATGCACACACACATTGCACTTCCCTACATTCTAAAACACCAGGTTTTTGTGCAAAATTGGCCTTCATGGCAGGAAGAGGACAAGAATATGGCCAGGAGTCCTCTGTTGTGCCCCAAAGACCAATGTGCTCTCCACCTCCTAACCTTCCTATTAGGTCTAGCATTCACACAGGCTTGAGATCCTGTGACTAGAGTAGAGGCATTGCTAGCAGCTCTGAGACACAGACTGAAGTTAAGATGGTCAGTTGGCATTACTGCCTGTACCAATGGCTCCCAGCAATGACCTACTGCTTCCCTGAAGGCTAGGACATACCCTGGGGAAAGGAAAGGTGCAACTTGATCTAGGATGGTTTGTAATTCAAGGCTGAGAGTCCGGAGACTTAATAGTTGTTTGAAAGGGGTACTCAGCAAAAGTGGACAGCTCTGCCATAATCCTTAGACCCTCAATTACTTCCAGTACCTTTCCAGCTCTCTGTACTGGACTTGGTCTCAGAGTGCTTGTATATAGCAGCTGCAATCTCCCAGCAGCCTCTCTGGCCACCAAAGAGTCTTTGTTGTGAGGGACCCTTCAAATTCATCTTAGTCGTCTCTTGCACACAAAAAGCCATAATGGGTGGCCCCAGAATTTGGGATGGAATAGGCAAGAGGCCTTTTGGAGAGAAAGCAGATTACTTTGTTGTCAGTCTGGCTGATTTTGGTGCCTCTGGGAGCTAGACATCCAGGACCCATAAAGAATCTCATTTTAATGCACAAAATCATTGGATAATTTTTTTTTATTATTGTCAAGCACAAAATGTCAGATGACAGAAAAGTTGATAAATGAGGAACTACAGGGACCCACTTACATAAAGATATTATTTCCTATTGGTATTGCTCAGAGCTTACTGGGAGATAATTAGCAGTACAGGAAATTTTAAGTGGATATTTTGAATTTTAAGTAGATACACTTGAGCTCTCCTTTGTCTGAGTGGATACATTTGGACAAAAGCAAAAGGAAAAACAATCCAAGTATACATGAGCAAGTGCAGTCCAAAGTGGTGTTCAAATTTGTGTTCCAGAGTAATGATAAATTACATATAGATTTTCAACTAGGTAGAAGGTTGGCAACTCTAGCACCATTGGCCAATACCATCCTCATACTTAATGATCAAGAGAACACCCACACATTTCTTTCTTTAAATTAAAAGTAACAGAAGGGTGAAATCAAACGTAGAAGTCCTAGTCTTCGGTATAAAGAAACTGACAAATACATCTGGAAATGCATAATCCTCTGAGGAGAATAAAATTGATGAATGTAACCTAAAGATTAAATCTCTATGTTCATCAAAACTTTTTCAACAGAGTGAAAAGATAATCTACATCCCGGGGACAAACAATTAGCAATACCATCTCCGACAGGAGTCTCATAACAAAAGTTTACAGAATACTCCTGGCCCTCTAGAAGAAAAAGACCAATAACTCAATTACAAAAGACTTTTCACAGAGGAATACATTCAGAAGGCCAACAGACACATGAAGAAATGATCAAAATCACTCTCAATAAGAGAGATGCAAATAAAAATCACAGTGAGATATTTTCTCACCCTAGTAGCAGTGGCAAATTTTAGCAGGACAGTAAGCAATAAATGTTGGAGAGGATATGGAAAGGTGAGAATTCTCATTTCTGTTGGTGAGATTGTAAAACCACTCTGAAAGACAGTTTGGCATTTCCTCAAAAAGTTGAGTATAGAAACTCCATATGATCCAGCTATTCCACTACTAGAAATATACCCCAAAGAATTCAGAACTAAGTAAGACACAGAGATCTTAACAACAATGTTCATAGCAGCATTATTCACGATCGCAAGATCATTAAAACATCCCAAATGTCCAACTACAACCAAATGGATTGAGAAATTATGGTACATTCACACAACAGAGAAACAATTTGGAAAAATACTACATAACTTGTGAGAGACTAGAGAGCATTACACTGAGTGAACTAACTCAGCCTCATAATAACTAATACTGCATATGACTATTACAGTAAAAATGGAATTATAGCTAGTAAAACATGTATGGGGACTCAAGGGGGGAAAGGGGTGGGAGCAGAGGGCTGAGAATGGTTGGGGTGAAACCACACAGTTGCACAGTTTGGTTGGTGGAGGGAGGGGGTGAAGAAGCTGGGAAGGATCTGTAAAGAGTGAATAATGTTGGGCAAGGTCCAAAGGTGACTGATTTCATAAAGCATAATGCATGGGAATGATTATATGAAACACAATGTGAATGAAAAATATGAACTTTGTGAGCAAACCAATAGATTTTAAAAAAATGGAGATTCTCTAAAACTATGCAACTGAATCACTCCTGTAAATATTCCAAAAGAACACTTAATTAATCTTGCCAACAAGTTGATTCACTTTCACAGTGTCCTTAAAGGAAAAATTAGTCCTGTCCCATAGGGTTTCCTTTGCTATAATCTTTATGAGTGCAGACTGCCAAACCTTGATTCTGCATAGCAATTGGTAAATTCAAACTGCCAACATTTTGATGAGTACCAGAGGGCTTAACCACTAAGCCAAAAACAGATCTTGGCACATTTAACACAACTTCCTTTATCAACGTTCATAGAAAAGGCAAAATGTGCCTTCTAAAAGAGTTGTAATATGTATCTATAATATAATAAATTTAGTTACTCCAACTATTTTGCCTGTAATTCTCTATATTACTGTAATTCAAAAAAATCTAATTTCCACAATGGACAAAATTTAAACTCTACAATTTAGTATTTCAAACTGGATCATTGCCATTTTACTTTCAGTCACTCAAACATCGGCTGCTCTCGTCAGAACCAATTCATAGCTGATCCTCCAGCATGTTTCCAAGGTTGCACTGGAGAAAATTCCATTTTTCTCCAATGGAGTTTCTGTTGGATTCCAATCTCCAAGGAGGCATGGTCTTTGGGTTAGCTGGGCAATGCCTTTCAGATTATGCCCCCAGAATTTTCTTCGTTCAGTTGGTGTCAATGTGTGCTATTTGATTAGAGCTGACTCAGGTGTTTCTACAGCAGGTTTTCAGAGGCTTTAAATGACAGAGGAGGAAGGTACTCATTTGTCTCCCATGAAGTAGCTGAAGGATTAGAATCATTGGATTGGCAACTGCAAATTCTTCAAACTAAGATACCGTCCATTCAACTATCATTGTTGTTGGGCATCAATGAGTCTGAAACAACTCATAGCTGACCCCCTGGTGAGTTTTCAGAGCTAGTAAGTCACAAAAGAGGAGACTGTTTTGTTGTTGTTGTTTAAAGTTTATTCTGATTTATTTACAAAGTTTGAATACATTGTTTTTCACAAAAGATCCTAATACATTGTTTTTCACAAAAGATCCTTCCAGTTTCTTTCACCAATCCACCCATTGAACTGTAAAAC